CCACAGACACTCGTGTGAGGAGGTCTTTGTTGTCCTCAAAGGGAGAGGCACTCTCTTGCTGGGGTCGACCTCACTGCCGTACCCGGGAACGCCTCAGGAGATTCCTGTCTTTCAGAATAGCACATTCACAGTTCCTGTAAATGATCCACACCAGGTAAAGATGATGGATGGCTGCCGCTATTATTCAGCACACTCTGTAGTCATGAAACCATCGCTAGATTTTAAGATTATGCATTGGAATCCATTTGCATACTAGTGCTTACACCATGCCCCTTTTGATTGCAGGTTTGGAATTCTGATGAACATGAAGATTTACAGGTGCTTGTGATCATATCGCGCCCACCTGTGAAGATGTATGTATACCTTGCTTGAATGTCTTATCCTATAGTAGTTGACAACATAAACTGAATTGATTTGTTCACACCCATCACTGTAGAGTAACTTGTGTTGGGTGATATACACACATGTTGTCAAAACCAATTTTACCCCCAAACCGCTGCTTGTTCAGTACTGAAAAAAAAATTCAAAGGTGGGAAAATGGCATAGTGTTTTATTTTTAACAATTTTCTTCCTTTAAAATCCAACACTTGGAGTTCGAACACAATCTAAGTACCGAGAACCTTTTCATATCTCCTCATAAGTACAACAAAACATCGATGACTTAATTTCCAAATATTACAAAGTAAATACCCGTAACTTGAAATGAACATGAAACACTGTCATAGATCGCTCGACGGGCCCAGACCATCAGCATCCCTAATCAACTGGATAGGAGTAGCGATAGATGTTGCCTAGACGGTGGCTTCAGACTTACTGTTGTATTTCTTTGTAAGGTCTTTTGAGAATAATTAATAAAGTGGCTGCATGCATCGCCTAGATGCAGAGGCCGGGGGTCTTCCTCCTTTTCTAAAAAAAAATAAAAATCGCTCGACGGGCCCTCCACGAATCTTCCTCTGATGTTGTGTCCAATTGTCACACATTTTACATGTTAATTCGATATGAGCAATGCATCTATGGATGTGAAATACTACTCTACGTTTTTTTTATATCGGAAATGTTGCTTGTTGTAGATTTCTGTACGAAGATTGGAGTATGCCTCACACGGCAGCGAAGTTGAAGTTCCCCTTCGTCTGGGACGAGGACTGCTTAGACGCACCTAAAGATGAACTGTAGGTTGGAAAGCGCTCACATGGCAGCGCATCGGCCTCAGTCAGCGTACTGGTCAAGTGCGGTGTACAGCTTGCCTGCCTCCTAAATAATGCGCATGTCTGTAACATCCTTTCTGTTGGAACAACATTTTCGTGACGGATTATGTACTACTTGAGTGCATGAAGCAGCCTTCTGCAGCAAGAGCTATTTCCAAATTTTGAATTACCACTGTATTCTAGACTGCAAGCGTCGCTGATCTTCGTCAGAGGGTCATTGTTCAGCAGATTTGGTGTTGAATCCTGAACAAATTTTTTAACTCTGCATCCTATGGCTAACATGAGTGAATCTAATTCCTTCAACTTGGTAAACGGCCACGAAGCAATTACAGTACTTACTATAGAACATAAATTAGTCAGAGTGGTATCCTGATTGATTTTATTTTATTTTTTGCAAAAGGAGGATGTACCCCCGGCCTCTCCATCTGGATCATGCATGTAGCAATTTTATTAATTATTCGTAAAGACCATACAAGGTGATACATCATTAAGGCTGAAGCCGCCAACTTGACAACGCTGTTGCTACTTCTATCCCCTTGACGAAGGTGTGCCAAATGTTCAGGTTTAATATCAAACAGGCATCGCACCAAAGTCTAACATCTAAAGTTGGATGCCTCATCCAAACCACTATCCTGATTGATATATAGCAAAAAGAAGTCAGACAAAGAGCATCTCCACTCCCCCACCCCCTCCCCCCCCCAACAGGCCCCCCAGGGCGCCTTTTTTAGCGCCGAC